TGTTTTCAGAAAGCAAGCGCGTTTATCCACAGTGGAGAGAGCGCGCGTGTGCACATGGTTGCCAGGTTGACAAAGATAAGTAGCACACTTAGCAGATATTTCCGTATTGCGCAAGTGTAAAGCTCTGTTTTGGGGATTACGTTTCTTTATATCAGGAACCCAGTTGTGTTCCTCTGCGGCCAGATTAAACCTTGATGTAGCCTATATATGCTCTATTCATTCTTTTTTAGAAACCTCGCACTTTTCTATTCAATTTTAAACATTGTAAAATTTTAAACAAATTAAGCGCGGTCCACTGCTGCACACGTGCCACAATATCGATACAGGGCCAGCTGTATCGATACTCGTATCGTCAAATCTCTGTGACGATACATCATCGTATCGATGGATAGCCTAAATGTCCTAATTCAGATGGGCTACCTTTTTTTTTTTTTTAATGGTATATCAAAAAGTGTATATTTTTTAAATGTGATTTGTTGGTACATTTTACCAGTTTTTACCATACTTTCAAAACAAAAAATAAAATAGGACAAATATGCAATATGATAATAATTGAAGACAAAATGTGTTTTACTGAGAAAAAAAAAATTTGGTTTTTAAAAAGCCTTTTTCCAAAAGGTACATCTGGAAAAAGGGGGGTCGTCTTATAATCAGGGTCGTCTTATATTCGGGCCAATATGGTACTTCCGGCTCTTACATAAGATGCGTCAGCCCGGTTTGATTCATGTGGATGGATTGTCCCTCTGCAATGACACTGAGATTGGTTTTGATAACAGGGCCAGTGGAGCACGAGAAAAAAAAATGGACAATCACTGGCAAACCTAATGGAGTCTTGTACTTTATCACCTTCATAAAACACTCCGTTTCTCCTGTTCCCCGCACACACCCGCAAAATCCGCCAGGCTGTTATGCAAGGTTAGCGTAGGGTTATCGGCAATCGTTATGAATTGGCTCGTATTTCTTTGCATCCTGATTGGATGCCTGTGGTGCAACATGAGATTTGTCTCTTTTCTTGTAACTACGGCAGGTACAAGATACAGTATGTAGTACTGTACAGTCGTCAATACTAGAAATATTTCCACAGCCTCGGCTAATAACATGTCTAGCAAAGTTTTTTTTTTTCTGAAAACATATTATCATGTGTCATAATATAAATATAATGGGCTGCAGTTTTTGTAATGTGTGGGTTTGTTATTAACGTCTGCAAGCTTAAGCAATCACTAATCGCATGTTTAATCACCTCAGTGTAGTTTACTACAGTACAGTAATATAAAACTTTTTTTTACAGTCATGAATGGAGATGTGCTTTTTTCTTGCAATAGGAGATGTGCTTCTTTTTTTCTTGCAATAGGTCACTTTAGCTGTTTATGTTTACTTAAAACATTACATAACATTGGAGAGCCTTTATCTCTTTATAGATTTTGTTTCTTGTAGCAGTATACTGTGATATTACCTTTTTTTGTTTCCTGGTTTGTTTGTTTTAGTTTTTTGTTGAACTTGCTTTTTGTTTAATTTCGTTTCTACTTTGTTTTTATTTTGCTTGGTCTTTAGCAAACAAAAAAGCTGGAAAATGTGTGTGTTTTTTTTACTTGTATATGGCTGTCAGTGCAAAATATTAAATGTTTTCTTTCTCACACAAAGCTTCATCCACTTTCTATATCGTCCTGTGTCCCTGTGGTCCTGATTTTTACTGAACATCTGCTATCATCTCTCTGCAAGTTTTTTTTTTATATTACTGCTGCAAAGGCCTATTACAGTGTCCGCTTTCCTCTGTCTTGTTGCCATGCTCAGAATGAGTCATCAGTTCACGTTTGCTGGCAAGCTTCCAAAACTCTTTGTGCAGAGCAAATAGAAAAGCAGCCTTGTGAAATCTGCCTGCTTAGTCAAGAGCATTACTAATTAGGGTTGCAAAAAGGTGGAAAATTTCCAGTAAATTTCAGAAATATTCCAGAAATCTTGGAAACTTTCCAGGATTTTTTGGAATATTTTTTGGAATATTCCAGGGATTTTTGGAAAGTTTCCGGAAATTTACCGGATATTTTCCACCCCTTTGCAACCCTATTACTAATTCCTCTTATACTGAGTGCTTAGTTATAATGAGTTAGTGTAATTAACAATTGAGTTTGACAGAATGTGTGAAATGCATTTAGTTTTTACCATTGAGGTGATTTCAGGATTAAATATAAACCAATGCTGAAGGAAACTAAACATTGTTTCTTGTACCTTGTCAACTTGCCTTTTGCATCAGTTTTTATTTTATTTATTTATGTATTTTTATTTATTTGTTTATTTTTGCTGTCATTGCATCAACAAAGAAACAAAACAATAAATTGGTTGTTTTGTTTTTGTTCCGTTTTTGTTTGTTTGTATTTTGTCATTTCATCACCAAACAAAATATAAACATTTTCTTTTCATGTTGTTTTTGTTTTGTTTTGTTTTCATTTGTTTTTTTGTTTTTCTTTTGTGTTAATAGATTATAATTCCTCCCCAAATATTTCATCTTAACTTGTTATTTGACCAGGGATAAAGTAGTTAACTAAAACTAAAACCTTAATAAAAATTTTACTTAAAATAAAATAAATGTTTACTGAAACAAAATTAAAAAAAATATATATATATATATATTAAAAAAAACTTTTTTCAACTATTTGCTTCATTTGTTTTTTTGTTTTTCTTTTGTGTTAATAGATTATAATTCCTCCCCAAATATTTCATCTTAACTTGTTATTTGACCAGGGATAAAGTAGTTAACTAAAACTAAAACCTTAATAAAAATTTTACTTAAAATAAAATAAATGTTTACTGAAATAAAATTTAAAAAAAATATATATATATATATTAAAAAAAACTTTTTTCAACTATTTGCCAAGATGGCATTTCTATTTTTACTTGAAGTACTAAAGTAACAAAAACTAAATAAATTAAAACTAATACATAAAATAATAAAAGCTGTAAACTATTAAAATGACAAAAACACTTAACAAAATTACTAAAAATAAAATCTAATTCAAAATATTGCTAAAAACCATAAAAGTATACTAAAATAGCATTCTACTTGACTCATGCTATCTTATATCTTGAGTTTCAGTAAATCAGTAAATTTAAAATACCATCACTCAGGACTGTGGTCTTCTCTTTTACATTTCAAATGAGCCATTTTGTTTAATTCTCCTTTTTGTGAATAAAACAAATGAGGTCTGATTCACAAGGTGATCTAAGAAGAACGCTGTCACAGGAACAGCGATGAACTGCAGTAACCAGTTCTTACTTTTTTTCTGCATTGCAGCTTGCATGGAAGATACCACGAGCTGGCTCCACATTTGGTTCCAATGGACTACACCAACGACCCTGATGTTAAAATCCCTTTAGCCCTCATAGTCAACATGCCGGAACTGAAGGTAATGCTAACTATTCACTATAGAACTCCCCTTCCAGTTTGCACACAACAGCATAAGTGGGGGCAGAAATATTCCCGTTCTCTTGTTTAAGCAACATGATGCTTGTGCAATGACCCTCACTGCACATTTAGTTTATATCAGATATAATAGACACTAGTTTTTATAGGGCAAAATTGGTTTTTAATGGCCACGCTGGCTGGGCTGTTTATATGACAAAGCACAAGCGGTGGGAGCGAGGGATATAACACCACTATGCTTGTGAAAGTTAACGCTCCATGAGATGATGCCGTTTCAGCAAATTATGTTAGCGCTTTAGATATTCTATGGTTGTAAAGACGCATACATTTAATCGGACTACAGCGTCAAGAGATCGTTTATAGGATTAGCCAATAAGAGCATTAGCATTATGCTAGTATTAAAGTAATCATGATGTTACTTTGTAGAGGTAACACTTTATTAGTGCCATTCCTGAACTGATTATTTTAAAACTCTTTCAGATTATCTCCTTTCAAATACAAACTTGTACTTCTTTTTTTTTAACTCTGTAAAGCCTATTGTATCTTATTTGATATGCAAATATTGGAGGCTTCTAAATTATCACTACGATCAAAACTATGTTGAAAAACCTGTTTTTCAATCTACTACATGCCCTATGTCGTCTAATTTATAGGTTATGCTTTTTAGCAAGTAGGGACTTTTAATATAATTGTAAACACATCCTTTAGGTTATGGTTCACGTGTCTTTTCACGGTGAAAGAAAACTTTTATAATGCTAGCAATATTTCAAGATGAACACGAACTGGACTGAAGCAACTTAGGTTTACTTTATTATCCATAATTTTTTTGAAATATATTAATATATATATATATATATTATATCGGCCGATATTTGGCTTATTTATTTTTTATTTTTTTTAATATCGGCATTGGCCGATAAGTTTTCCTGTTTGCCCGATGCGTTCGAGGCGGGACTTTTATTTTGACGGCGCGCCTGACTTTTATTTTGACCGCTCTCAGCGCCTGAGCACACAGTGCTCACATTCTCCCTCTTGTTCACTGTCGTCGTTAACGGTTCTGCCTAATACGGACAGAAATCTGTCTAATAATCAGATAGAACGGTTG